GTGGTGGTGGTGGTTAACGGGGCGTCAGAAGAATTTCGGTCGGTGACGGAGTGGCAGAGGTGGTTGTGTTTGTCGTCGCCGCGGTAGTTGTGGCAGAGATTATGGAGGCGGGAGTGATCAACAACAGTGGGGCATGGTGATTCGAAGCAAGGGTAGTGAGGGTTGGAGGCGTGATGGGAGTGGGAGGAATGGGAGTGGTTCTTCCTGTACGTCAAGCATCAGCCATCTCTGACTCCATGACGGGCATGCCAATAAGATGTGTTAGAAGAGGTACTATCTGGAAAGAATATGACGCAAGGAGATATGATAAGACAACATCTGGCCAGGCATTTGTTGATCCACGGACATTTTGAAGATGGTTCTTCGCAGCAGAACAGCACTCTGGGCATACATAAAACGCAGAAAATGTACTGCTCTGACCCATATCCATGTCCGTAAGTAAGGGCAATCCAACCTACGGAGTGGCAAAGTGGCTGTTCCGACGTCTCAAGTTTCTGACCTCCGATTCGAACACCACAGTCAGCTCGTGAACGCAATTCTTGGAGTAACTTAAAGGAGTAAGTCTCCTGCCAAGTGATATCATGGTTTCCCTTGATGTCACGTCCCTTTTTACTTCTAACCCACAGGACCTGGCAGTCGAGACCATCGAACTACTCCTACGAGAGAAATACGGCGAAACGGATAATCGCCTCGGACACGCCCAAATCCTCCAGCTCCTGAAGTTCTGTCTCAAGACGTACTTTACGTTCGACGGAACAATCTACGAGCAGGTGAATGGAACGCCAATGTGTTCGACGATTTCGGGACTCATAGCCGAAGCGGTCCTACAACGGTTGGAGTCGCTGGTTTTCCGACACCACAGACCGAAATTCTGGGCTCGGTATGTGGATGACACCTTCGTCGTCATCGAACGGGATCAGGTGCTGACACTCAAAAAACATCTCAATGCCGTCTTCCCGGACATTCAGTTGACGATGGAGGAGGAGAAAAGTAACCAGCTGGCCTTCCTGGATGTCCTCGTCTGCCGCAAAGATTGTGGTGGCCTAAAAACCAAAGTGTTCAGGAAAGCGACAAATACGACGCAAATACTGAACTTCAATAGCAACCACCCGATCATTCACAAACGCAGTTGCATAAGGGCGCTATAGCGGCACGTTGTGACGCACTGCAGTGAAATGGAAGAAAATGTTGCTGAATTACAATATCTTCGACGGGTAATGAGAGCCAATCGTTACCCGCTCAACTTTGTCAACCACTGCATACGCAAACTACACCAGAGACCAATTTCAAACGGCCCTAAATTTTGGCGAGCTCTTCCGTACGTGAAGAATGCCTCGGAAGCCGTTAGCCGCCTTCTCACTCCACTTGGAGTTGGGGTTGCACACAGGCCGAAAGCAACCATCAGAAGCCAAGTCATGAGGTCGAAAGACCCACTGCCACGACAGGAAACGTCTGGAGTCGTTTACCGGATCTGGTGTAGTTGCGGACAAAGCAACTGTGTCGGAGAAACTGGGAGATTACTCCGTACGCGAATTGTCGAGCACGCAGCAGCAGTGAGGCGGGGAGACGCTAGCTCTCGGGTGGTGGCACACTTGACAGGACCCGGCCATATTTTCAAATTTCAAGAGGCCGAAATCCTCGCAAGGGGTGACAACCGCGTGAGCCGCGAGCTGCTCGAGTCATGGTTCTCAGGTCCGCAATCCATCAAAAAGCACAATGACCTCCCGGTACCATATTCCGTGCTGAGATTTTCCCTGGGCAGGGGAATCAGTTACGTGGGGAGGGTGCGGACAAGTCATTATCACAGTGGCAGTGAGCCAATTAGCCGAGCGATCGTCACACCAGCATCTAGCACGGATGACGAAATCACGGCCATTAACGACTCGGACTCGGACTGACAAGCCACCACCGCATCAATTACGACCCCAGCGGTGGTTGCGAGAGCTGTTAATTACAGTGCGCATATGGTCCCACGGCAGCCGCGTGCTATAAATACTACACTCCTTGTGTCACCATCGCCTTTATTTGCGACTCTCTCTGATGCTGGATTCGAGTGAGAATCCGAAACGTCCGACCAATAAATTTCTTGTTTCAGTGATCGCATCTTCGTCTTCTGAACTGCTACCTGGAACTCGTCTGTTCGCTTCTATCTGTACCGATAGTGTTTCGCGGCGAGATAGTCGGCAAGAAGCTCTCGTCCAAATGAGCTATAGAGTGATTCGACAAATGATAACTTTCTGAATAAGAAAGATAATGGTCGGGTCAGGCGTGCAAGACGCTGCTGAAGAACCGGGCAATAACAGCAGCATTTGAGGCGTCAACCATGAGAAAACACAGAGGAGAGCCTGTCGTACGTATGTAGTGAGCAACGTCGTGCAGGGAGTAGAGACGATAAAGTTTGGACAGGTGAGGCAAGAGTATTTAGCAAGGAGCTGCTGACATGGAGTCTCGGGCTCAGGGCCCAGGATAGAAAGTTGGCGAGACACTTCCGACGTTGAGCTTGGCCTGGTCGTGTAAACGGGACTGACGACAGTCGACCAGACGGTCGAAGTATAGCACAGGGTTCGTCGGCAATGCTAAAGACGCAAGGGAAGAGACGCCCGAGACCGATGTCCAGGGAGAAAGAGAGAGAGAGAGAGAAGACGAGCAAATGCCGGGGGGGTGGCGGTTGGCCAGGTGTTGACGGCCTGGAGTCAGAGGCCGGGATTAGAGCACCGAAGATCGGTCGCTGTGGGAGGAATTACGGTCAGCTGCGCACCCGTATCGAGCAGGAAGCGTCTGCCACTCCGATTGTCACGGACGTAGAAGGTGCGACCAGTACTAGAGCTGCCAGGGAAATTGAACCCAGCGACCTCCAGGCTCTGCTTGGAAAAAAAGGAGCAGGAAGGGATGCGGCGACAGGCAATGGCACCAGAGGTTGTGTTGTACCAGTAGGTGGCGGCTGTGTTGGGACCAGATAAGGCAGTTGGCTGGACATGCCTGGCAGATGACCTCGACGGACTAGGGGAGGATGAGGACGCTGTCTGCTTTTGAAGAGAAGTATTATCGTGGGCACGCTTCGTAATCTCAGGCTTCAGGTGCGAGAGAGGGACGCAGGAGAAATTGAGGAGGTTGAGAGACAGAGCAGGAAACGATAGCTTTAAGAAGCCGTACCCCTCCATATGCCGTTCGGACATCTGAGTAAATTATGCGTCCGATAGAATACCAGAAACAGGTGTCGACACATGCTACTCTTCCTGTGGGAAGTAGCCCGTTGTCAACGCCTTACTATACCGTAGATCTGGAAAGAGGAAGGTTAGCGTCCGAAAGGAGTCACCAGACCGGCGTCTGAGATGTAAGCGCCAGTAACCTGGTTAGTCAAGACATTTCAAGTAAAAACACCCTGCCATCTGAGTAAGTTGTGCGGTTCGACTGTGATGTGAATTGCGACCTGCCGTTGTGCCGATGAAGACGCAACGACAACTTGCACGTGACCATGTTTATATGGCGGGATCGAAGTGCGCAGTACCACCTCCGCATGTAGAACATCCCACTGACAAAACAAGGCTCAGACAACTGGCCGTGGGCGTAGCTACGGAACCCGAGGTGACATCTGCGCGTAACGCACGCGTGATGATCAGTAACTGAGAAGGATAACATCTTCAAAGGAGGTTATTGGGATTTCCCTTTGAAGATAGTCTCCATAGTAGACAGGAGCCATCGCAGTCCGGGTCACTGTCTAGAGAAGGACCGAGTTATCTCACCACTTACAACCGCTCGACGCCATAGAGCCTACCGCCTAGTAATACCCTGGTGTATGTCGGATTTATAAAACTACTAAAAATATACGCCCATTCTCCTCCCCCACTCCCAATAACTCGAGGCACGCATCGCACTGGCGAACTATAGCCTCCGGCACGACTGTTTGTGGTGACATTGAAAGTCCACTGCCTGGTCTGAACTGGAAGTTTATCCGACTTTTAAGGGAACCGATTGGCTGATTGCCTTCCCCTACTGTGTTGGTCTAGCTGTTAGTTATCCCTAATGAAATAGGTAACTGTTCGTATACTTTGTCAACTCCCAATACAGTTTGGACGCGCAATTGTATAATAACACTTCTTAAGAAAACCTACTGAAGAATCGCGATCTCTCTTTCTCTCCCGGCCTCTTCTAGTCTCTGAGACGTTGACTTTCCTTAGCTTTCTGAAACCATAAATAGTTTCAGTCATAGCTACTGAAACAAAAATTGAAGCATACAATCTTACTGATAAGGATGCATGGTATTCTTCCGGAAACCTCGGAGAATCCCATATTGGACCTTCCGAAGATCGATGACTCTGACCAGTATGTCCAACCCCTTTGCAGACTCTCAATTGCATATAACTCAGCAGAACTTGGACCTACTGGGATTTTCGTTGTGATTCGGCAGATAATCACTTTTCTGGACGTCACTAACTTTCTAGAAGTTTGATCAAAGTGCGCAGACCATAGCACTCCGGCAATTCAGTGACCCGTCTAACCTAACCTGCTAGGCGCCGGTTGAATGCAGCAACTTCGTAGAGGACTGGTTTCTCATAGTGTTTGGACACGAGGGCAGAAATCATCAGCCACGCCTCCGACACACCTCAATCTTACTGTCTAACCAATTCATCTCGGTTTGCTTGGATGTATGCACCAATAGTTGGAGCAACGTAATTTTCCTGATGATTGACGTTTTTGTGATCATATCTAGCCCGATTAAGTCGACGATAGGCTGGCCATTCACCGGAATGTATTGTTGAACCTGCTTTTACTTCGCGTTCAATGATACAGATCAATGTTGCTGCATCTGGCTTGTGTATTTAGAAGTACCTAACATCGGTACCCAGACACAATCCAAAGACCTATGGGTCATCAATGCGTGAGCCGTGGTTCCGATAATTCTGTACCAGATCCCCATCGTTTTCTTTGGCGGGTGCATCTCCACCTGAAAGACGTTTACGATTGCATTTACGGCGTTCTGTAAATCCGACCTCCTCCATTTGGATTGGGTTTTACGCTCTTCCATTCAAATTTCCTCTCCTGCCGACAGATAATATTTCGGAGCAGACTTCCCGACAGTAATTGAACCAGTCAACCACAGTATTTGGAGATCTGCTAGTAAGCTTTGGCATTTCTTTCAGTGACATTCTTTTGTTCCAGAGATAAACCATCACTAACATTTCACAGGGTTTCAAGTTATAGTGGAGTCTTCCGTCCAAATCCCAATCACGAAAGAATTCATTCCCCCTTCCTACTGATTGAACAGACTGGCAAAATTTCGGTAGGATGTGGTTATTTGGCCGCATTTGATGGACACAATACTGTTAGGTGTTAGGGTTAGGGGCTAGGGTTAAGTGTTAGGGCAAAAATTTCTCAACCACGCAAAGTACGATCGCACATTCCCAATAGCTTCTCTTTCGCATACGACTACTTAACTTCGTCGACTGTGCGTCCCCCGGTCCCACCTTTAAAACCCCTTATTACCACCGGTCCCGTATTACAGGCGGCTGGGGCTTGTTTACCTCAGGCGCGGCCGCATAACCATATCTGACCCTGGTTTCCCATTGTGCCTGGACACGAGAGTGGAAATCATCAGCCACCCCTCCAACACACCAGCTTGAGTATCAGATCGTGGATGAGGCCTTACTTGACTACCTACAACGGTCCCCATGCCGTACTACCTCCCTGGTCTGCGACATTTCTGTAAGTAACTCATTTCAAGACGGGTGTCTAGCCAAGCCCAGCCACTGCATATGTAGCGGTCAGAATAGTGGTAAGATTGCCCTTAAAACGGGCCACGAGGAAGATGCGCCGGACCAGCACAGGGGCTGGATCGGAGTCCAGCAGAAGTTATCTAGAATACGCGCTCATAGCCGATGCCAACACTGTGGATGTGGCCGGACGTCCAGGTGCGGGCCCACATCGCGTCCACTGAGATGTGTGCCGCTCCCCTTGGTGTATAAAATCCTCGTCGGCGTCTGTTGTGGACCAGCGAGGTGTGGTGGTACGCCTGTAGCGTCTAAGCAGAGAGAGTTTACTCAGAGCGCTACCAGCATTACACCAAATCCCGTGTTGTAGGGAATGACAGACGTTGCCCGGCTTATTGTGCACAGAACCCCGAGTTGTCCTCTCAGGCGGAAGTGGCCGCTAGCGAAGCTAAGACTGTGTCGAGTCATGCTCGACAGTAGTGGCGTCTGATTTTGTAGGTTTGTAGGGAACAGGCTCAAGTGGTATCCGATTGATGTGTATTTCATTCTTCGAGGGGTGCTGTTCAAGCGGCTGCGACTCTGTCGGCGCATGCGCGTCGCTGCATAAGTTGGTCCAGGGGCTGCAGGTCATCGCGTCTGGAAGCGCTCTCTGCGAATTTGAATAACCCTGACGCAACGGGGCCATGAACAAGGACGCCAGACATGGCCTTCAGCAACACGCCTAACTGCGAGTTTTCACCGTGGCAGCCACCTGAGTCATCTCCCGTTTCCAGTCTTCTTGGCTATGTCTTGGCGCCGGGCCCAGGTGGGGGAGGGGAGTGTGGTGGATGCTGTGCAAGACAAATATAATCTTTAACTAGTTCGCGCTCAAGTCACCTTTTCTGCTCTCGCCCTGATGTGGAGCACATGGTGGACATTGCCAGCAGCGAGAGTTGAACTGACTGGTGCACTTTGAGCGCCACAATCATCAAACCAAGTCCCCAATGACATGAGCGGAGGGATGACACTAGAAGGGGGCAGTTCATTGCGCACAGAGCACGGGCTGCTGTCACCGGCAGCAGTCACTGTTAATTAGTCCAAGGCGTGTGTTGAGAGAGAGAGGGGGGCTGTGGGATCGACTGCCAGGTAAGGTCTGCTTTTATTCAAGTGCTGCACTGTAATGCCCCATGGGTGGGGTGTTCAGGTGTGGCATGTTGTTTGAATGCAGTATACACGTAATGGAGCCAGTCGAGCGCCTAGTGGTCAGCGCAACTGGAATAATATGAAGGGGTTTACACGGTGACAGTAATGACGGTTGAAGTGCGATGGTGGACAATAAGACAGGTTTACCAGATCAAAATTCAGAGATACAGAGTTAGTTGGACAACCTGTGCCGCAGCGAAAGAGAGAGTACAAGTTACTCAGAAGGCAGTGACAGCAACTGTTCTCCCACGAAGACGTCGAGACTGTTAGTCTCGGAGTGGAGTGCTTGTTCCCACCTCCCACCAATAAGCAAAGGGCATGACTTCGATTGGCGTCAAGCTGTGGGCACGGGGAAGCCAAGTCAAACTCGACGCCATGGACAGGCGACCGTGGCGGCAACCAGAGAAGCAGGCTGCATAGTACCCCCCTGTTAGATCGAAGACGATGTGAAGCGACTCCGAAGGAACTGTTTCTACCTGAAAATCACGAGTAACAGGACGAGTGGGAAAGTAAACATGGTGTCCACTGTGTACGATATAGCCTGAGGGGGTAGGAGAAGGGTCTCGCCTGTGTATGTGAGTGAGTGAGTGACGGAATTGCATTTGGGAGCACCATTGGTGGAAGAACAGGTTATGAGGAGCAGGAAAAAGGGGACAACAGGGTTCATCCAGAGTACCGTCCGGGACAGCAGCTTTGAGGCGGTCCACGTCCACGACCTCCATCCGGGTTCCGCGCTGGGTGTGAGACCTCTTCCCCTCTCGGGAGACAATTCGGAGGGAACGGTTCCAAAGGCTGACAGACTCAGTCACATCACAGGAAGAAGTGGGAACATACCGTCAAGTCTTCTTGGCGATAAAGCTCGGAGATAGTTGACCTTTGAGGAACCGGGAGGTGTATTTGCATAAACCTCGGTAGGTTGGTTGGGTCCTCGTACGCACTGTGAGAGATTTGGAGAAGGCAGTTTTCCGTGGAATCGGGTCGTGGCGCGAAGGTCAGTTCGACGACGGAACAGCCAAATTACGACATGAGAACTGAGTGGAAGCTCAATAAGATCAGGAGAAGGGGTCGTGTCCGTGTCCTCTTTGGTGACTGGTGGTGTCTCCAGGTGGTGGTAAAACCGTCCGAGCGCCCCGTTGGCAGTCGCGTGGTATGCTGTCGTCCGAATTTGTGTACAGCCTAAAAAGGCAGAAAACAGTGAACGAGCCGCGGTCAGTCGTAATGGTAGGCAGGTCACTGAAGTGGACAACCGAACAACTGGGAACGATCCCGGCCACCGCTGTGGCTTT